ACACAACTGGACACTGTACTTTGCCAGATCCTTTGCCCTGCACTACCGACAGGGAGAAACCACGCTGCATAATCCCGGGGAACTTTCTTGACCAACACCAGGATCAGTGTATATAATCAGAGGAATATGGCTGATAACCCAACACCCCAACATTTTGACGCGACATTACAACATTTTTAATGTTGTGGTGTTGGGTGGAAATGTTGTATTGTCAGGTTAAACATGTTGTGATATCGGGTTAAAATGTTGTGATGTTGGGTTGTCGCCTTATCAAGAACTGAATATCGATACTCGTATAAAAAATAAAGGAGCTTCAATAAAATGAAATAAACGGAATGTTTTGTGTCAAATAAACGCCTTCTTATCATTCAAAACATGCTAAAACTAAAAACACACACACTAGACGAAGGTACAACCACCGCGCCGGTAATTTTTGGGGTCGTTTACAACAATGACAATGAATAATTAATTAATTGTTCAGGGGAAATAGCTCGATTTTAATAGAAATTTATTTATTGTTATAAGCGGCCGAGGAAAATTGTTAACATCAATTGATGGCGAGCGCGAAGCTGCGATTACTATTTTGTTCATAATACTATAAGATAAGCTGTCAACGAAACAAACATTAAGAAAACATAGTTTGAGGATCATAGTTTCTTTTTTTATTTGATCAATAACACATTTAAATGCATTATTAGCATACAAACAGTTATTTCTTTCAACTTCAAATTTTCTGATATATCGATATCGATATTGCCGAAATGATTGCCGATATCGATATTCAAAATAGGTATCGATTGCCAACCCTATATATCATTTCGGTTTTTTATACTTTCGATGGCCTACACTACATGAAGATCTGACGGATTGTAGTAGAAGGTCGCATTAGAGGTTGTGTGAGTGGCTTTTGACCCAATGATGTCAGACATTGATTAATCAATCAGCGTTGACTTTTCTAGCACTAGTTTCTTTCACATTCGTTTAATATCAAATCTTTGTTTAAAAATTCACCCAAAATCATCTAATTTGTACATGTGTCCAGATTAAAGCTGACTGATTAATTTTGATGAGTGTCTAATTTAATTTCTTGACAACTGTTAAAAAATTAATTATACATCAATAATCAATTGGGTTGTTTATTTTATAACAGTGATCGAGAAATTAAACGCTTGTAAATTGGACACTCATTATCAAAATTGAATGGTCAGCCTCGAAATGGACACAAGTACCAATTAGAGATTTTTGGTGATTTTAAATGATTTTTTTTACAAATTTTTAAACAAAGATTTGATATTAAACGAATGTGAAAGAAATTAGTGCTACATTTAGATACATAAGATTAAATGATACCAGTTACAGTGTTAAGTAATCAGTTAGCTTTAAACTGATTTTTTGGGTAATTTTACAAATTTTTAAACAAAGATTTGATATTAAACGAATGTGAAAGAAATTAGTGCTAGATACACAAGATTAAATAACACCCGGGTTACATTGTATTAATCAGCATTTCATTTCTTTAAATAATAATTGTTATTATAAATGAAACTAGGTGGAATTTGAAAAGCAAAACGTAAGTGTACACGTACATCATTAAAATTGATCATGGTTTTGTTTTTTGTTTTGGCTTAAGCTAGGTTCCCACTGTCGTGCAACACAAACTAGGTCATTTCGGAACTAAAATAAGGTTTAATTTTATTTCAATAATTTGATTGCACGTACATGTAGGGGTCTTTAGCAGTGGGAGGAAACGGGAGGACCCGGAGAAAACCCACGAGGCTGGACAGGCGACCCTACTCCTTGTCACGTACAACGGGGGTTTCGAAACCACGGCAGTTGACTCAATGACAGGTCTTATGATACAGCACGCACGTGCTAACCATTCGGCCATACAACCCCCCCTTTATGATAGGATGGTAGCTCTTGAGTCCACGATTTGGTATGTTCATATAAATTGTACGTTCAGTTGTTTTGATACGATCAACACGATTGCTACAACTGACCACAATGTATGATAGGACCTAATAGGATCATCACGATTACTCCACAATTAAAACCATAATTTCAATCGCAGCACGAATCGTAATAGTGGGAACCTACATAAGAGGATTATTAAAGCCTTTCTTACGCTGATATTCAACAGTCACACAGATGCCTTATGTCCAGATTTCTTGACGGATCATCAGAATTTAATTAACGAGAATGAAATGAAATGAGGTTCAACATCCTCTTTTTCTATACCAATTAGGCTAATGACGTCTTGATAAGTCAAAATCTAACATAATCCAAGCTTATAGTAGCTAAGACTCTAATTCAATATCATCCAAAGTCTTCGACATTGAAAACACAAATCATTTGTCAATTTAAATCCACACTGATCTTATCGGGAAAAGATGGCCTTCTTATATCCAATATTTATGACAAAAATAAACATTTAACCATTGTTATATACGAATCAGTGCCATTTGTAACGAGGGACTTGAAGAACAAGGCTAGATATATTGAACAAGTCATGTTAAACGGTGACGCCATATTCTCATCTGGAGAGCATGCGCAATAAATACTATCGTGTAGTCCGGAATAACCAGATGCAAATGATTGCCATTCGATTGAGACTTCTGGCATATTTCGTCAAACATAACTGATTAAAAATTAGAGTAAAAACGGAAACGATTGAATGTAAATCAGTTTATATATACATTCATATTACATTATTATATGCGTTGCGACCCATATATGTCTATTTCTAGTTGTCAAAGATTAGCGCCTTTAACTACATGTGATAAACACATAACAATATCCTGTCCAAATCATCAGCTGACCTAGGTCAATTAACCTACTAAATTTCAAGAAGAATCCAAACTAAGATTTCTGATTTGCCTCAAGAAAGAAACGCTGAGGAATTATTTAACATCAAAATTGAAATTTGGATATAAGCTTATCATCTACAATAAATGAAGACCTGAAATTCAGAGTTTTTTTTTTTAATTTGTTGGTTCAGAATAGTTAAATATACATTTTCTTTAGATATGAAATGTTATACTTATACACATGTAAACTATTAATTAAACATTTACTAACATGCCAAAACCACAATCAAGTCTGAATGCCATTGCATAGGTTTGATTTTAAGTAGACTAGAATGGTTCAGCCATTTAATAATTTAATCTAAAAAGGGGGAAGCAAGGCTAAGCTTTGAACAACCAGTACGATGATTACAATTAGTGCACACATCTTTTCAAACCTTCAAAGGCTAATATCTTCACTCAGAATAAAGTAATTTGAATGAAATTTCCAATATATTCATTTTGGATTATTTATTATAGATTTTTTATAGCAACAACAACCAGTTGTTTATCATGATATTAAATAATGCTTCTTTAAAAGGAACAGAAATGAAATGGAGTTTAACGTCCTACTGTTCTGCTCCTAAACTGTGCTAATGAAGACGGGCATACGCCATACAGTGTGCTATAAGGAAATTTTGCCCGGGCAGTGGCACTACGGCCTACTCTTATATCGAATTCCAACTGCCAAGGGATCTTTGACGTGCACGCCAATGTGTACACGGGACCTCAGTTTTTCGTCCCATCCGAACGACTAGACAACTGTCTGTGTCCTGCATCACTGACAAGGGGAAACCACGCTGGAAAATCAGGATGAACTCTCTCAGCCTAAACAGAACAGGGCATTTCACCCTGCACTTTTTAATTCCTTCATTTCTTCACTTTGGGATTACAATACATGTACCTCCGGGCTAAAAATAAATTGATAACTGTATCTCTGTGTTTTAAAGGCTCAATACCACTCTTGTTGTAACTGAATAATATGTCCCAATCTTTATTCTGGTCTACAAATTGTACTATTTTACAATATTCCAATTAATTGATGATACAAATTTCATCTTAACACACCTAATTTAAAAAAATGGAAAAATTCAACTAAATGATTTGAAAAGCCTAACGTAAAGCTTTTCAAATGTAACTTGGATTTAAAAATATTTTCGAACCCTCTGGACAAGTAAAATAGGATTTAATGGATAATTTACACAACAGGTAGGATACTGTAAAAAAAAAAAATTGTCCATCCGGTGATCACAAGCTATGTGGTATTTACATGTAGTCAAGACAATCTTTATCTGGAGGTAAACATCTTGCCAATTGTTTTCCTTGTCACAAGTCATCTGTCAATCATGAACCATGAAACTAGGGTAGCTCATACCAGGCCTACTTAAGGATGTTTCATAGCTTCCTCACTTATCTTCATGTATAGGCAATAGCTACATGATGATGTCAGGGATTAAGAATAGAACATTTGTAGTAAAGTAGTAAATAAGGGCATGACTAATATACATGTTGTAATACACAACACACGTTTTTCTTTTTCTAGTTCAATTCATTCTCACACCCAAAGCCCTCAAATTTGTTTAGATTTTGTTTTCATATCCAGTAGGTTATGTTTATTCAAGTTACATACTTATAGCGAATTGTTGAATATAGCATTAAGACTAAAAGCTAGAATACTATAAGAGATACATGCTATAGGCTTGGCTCAATATCATATTGCACAACATAAATAATGAACCCGTTTTAGTTTATGAATGATTCTTTTTTTTTTTTCTTTATGATATCTGTAAAGATATATGGCATGGCAATCAACAAAATTTATATGGCATCCATCCAAACAGTGGAATTAACTTGCGCAATACTAGATGTAGGCCTACATCTAGAGGATTTGGTCTAACAGATTGATGATCTCATGCCATGGTGATGATGACATCGGGCGTAGACGAATCAATTTTTTTTTTACTTGTGAAATATTAAATATCTTTGATTTGCATTTGATCAATACAAAATAGTTTTATCCCCATGACAACCAATTATTTAGGAATTTTGACATTACAGAAGGTTTTAGGACCAAATATTAAGAGTCAAAATATCGATATTCAGCTTACAACATCAATTAAAACGTGAAACTCCACCACAAAAACAGATCTCACTTACGATTGTGACACTAGCTTTCCTCAGCTCTCGGTTCTCTTCTTGTAAAGACTTGCATTTCATTTTGTACGTTTCCAATTCCATTTTTAAAACCCTGTTCTCCTGCTGCAAGGATTCAATTCTTTTCTGAAGTTGTTCTAATTGGGCTGGCGATGGGGGTTTCATCGTGGGACCCCCATCTATTGAGCTCGTATCGCTCTCCAATTCGCTGGCACTGTCCGCCATTGTAAACGACAATCAGTGAGGAGTTAACGCGTGTCTCAAGAGCCTTAGTTTCGTACAATTTTTTTCCTTTTTTACGATTTACCTCCCCTAGACCACCCGAACCGAATTTACAATGGATTTGTCTCCCCTGCATCAATTGACGTGCAATAAAAATACATTTCGAGATGTAAAGCTCCAGTAATATAAATGAAAATGTGGTTTACGATTTCTCCAAAGAGCTGATTTCTTTTTAACCCCCCTCCCCCATAAAAAAAACCCAAACCCAATACGATACTGATGAGTAGGCCGTATTCAATTATATTCCAAGCTAATTCTTTTTTTTTTTCTTTTTTTTTAAGTATCGCTGCACAATTTTAAGAATTGATAACCGGCTTAAAGTCGAGGCTATAGGGTTAAAGTTCAATTCAAGGCTGATCAGTTTTACATGACGGTGATATTCTCTGTTCGCGGTAGTTGAACGATAAATAATGGTTTTGGTGGTGAAATATTTGAAAGATGCTTTAGCTAGAAAGGTATAACTTTTATTCAATAACTTGTCCTGTTGATTTCTTTGCAAGGCACGCGGCAGATCTGTCAGTTATCTTTCCACCCAGAGGTATACGAGTATGGACAATGTAAACCGCCAATAATGCAGGATTAAAAACATGTCTGTACTATGCATGGGTTTGAAAAATACATGTTCTTATACCGTATAGATATTATTGTTAAATTGCATTTTGTAAGAGCATGGACCTTATAATGTATTATAAGGTCCATGGTAAGAGCTAAATCTGTCTGTTATGGTTCTTTTGTCTAGCAACAAATGTTATTTTTTTTTATTATGACAAGGCCCGGCTTCTCTATATAGGCCTACCATATACCATCTGATGGCTGGGTGGGATAATGAAATGAAATGAAATGAAATGGGGTTTAACATCCCACTGTTCTGCTCCGAACTGGGTTAATGAAGATGGGCACGCGCCATACAGTGTGCTATGAGGGAAATTTTGCCCGGACAGCGCCACTACGGCCTACTCTTATATCGAATTCCAACTGTCAAGGGATCTTTTATGTGCACGCCAATGTGTAGGCCTACGGACCTCGGTTTTTCGTACCACCCGAACGACTAGACAGCTGTCCTTTTCAGGCCCTCCGTCCTGCCTCACTGACAAGGGGGAACCACGCCGGAAAATCTGGATAAACTTTTTCGGCCAATGCAGGGATCAAACACCCGACCTCCAAGCTAGCGAGCCAGCGTCTTACCCATTTAGCCACTGTGATCTCCGGGTGGGATATCAAGCGGATTACACATTGTTTGTTTAAGCTTAAACATGCATTATGCAAGAGCTAAATCTGATTATTGCAGGTCTTTCTTTAGGCCTGAAATGTTATCTAAATTATTAATTAGACATTAATTAACCTATCCAGGCCATAATCAACTCTAGATGGCAGCGCTAGCCTGCGATCTTAAGTGGATTGTGATCAGATTTACTGCATAACTTTCCTTCTCGATTAAACAATTAAATGGATAATCGAGACTATGCTGTTTAATGTACTGATTTGTAATGATGACCGAGGCTAGGCAGAAATTTGATTCGCTTAGTTCTCGGTTCATAGTGGATCAATTTGAATGAAATTTTCAGCAAATTGCCTTTATGTTATCTAGTTTTTAATTATTATAGTGAGGACTGCCAACTCGTTATCGAATCTCCCATAATGTATCTTGGATCTGTCGATGCTTTGCAAAACATTAGAGTAACAATGCCTCCATAAGTGTCCAACGAATTGAAATACGACCTTTTCATCCCAACTACCATGTTATCTTTATAAAAGTGAGGGAAGGATGGGGTGGGGGTGGATGGCCAAATGGTTAGCGTATGCGTACTACATCATTGGTTCTGTCATTGAGTCAACTGACATGGTTTCGATTCCCCGGTTGTACGTACGTGACAATGAGTAGGGGGCGCCTGTCTAACCTTGTGTGCTTCATCCCACTGCTAAAGACCCCTACGCACAAGCAAATTATTGAAATAAAATTGAAGCATATGTTAGTCCTGAAATGGCCCAGTTTGTGTCGAGTGGATGTTAACCCTATTTCTCTCTCTCTCTCTATTTCTCTCTCTGTCTCTCTCTGTCTCCCTCTCTATCTCTCTCTCTCTGTCTCTCTCTCTCTCTGTGAGTCAAGTTGCATGGGTGATAAGTCTGATTCCTCCCACTGCTAAACAGGGCTGCCGACAACCAGTATCGCAGCGCAATTTGCGATACATATTTCGTCCGTTGCTAACCAAAAATTAAAATCTGACGTTTTTGATTCGCAGTTACTGCGAATCATTAATGTGCCTGTCATTTTGGATATTGTCACAAGAATAATCCACATTTTGAAGACTAGAAGGCTTACTCAACACTTTCAACGTGTATAAAATGTTGAATAAAATTTTATAAACAAAACTGAATTCTCCGGGTGACATTTTCTTCTCGAACTACCCAGACACAATACTATATAACACAGGGACATAACTCTATGATATCACCTCGGTGGAAGCGGACGTAAAATACAACTAACACTAACTAACTCTATGAATAGGGACTATTAAACCGGAAATATGGAATCAAGTAGTCGCACTCACGTTGCGAGACATCAAGTAATTATATCGAGTCGACCCTAAGTCCAAAACAAATAGTCAGTCGAATAAACCGGTCGATGGCTTATTAAAATTTTGGAATCGGTGTAATCTGTATAAGTTAAAGAAAAAACGCACTAATTCCAATATCTTTTATCATTGTTTTTGTTTATTTTTTACGTCCCCTCATGTTCAAATTTGATTGTTCAAATTAAAACTTTAAGGTGTTATCTTAGTTATTGCCACCGCGGCTTAATAAAGTCATGCTTGACTTTTTCCCTCATCCCCATATGCCCCCATCTTTTAAGTGCACGCCAATGTGTACACGGGACCTCGGTTTTTCGTCCCATCCGAACGACTAGACATCTGTCCTTGTCCACCTCCAAAAGAATAGAGTCCCTATATATGATATGTTGGGTTAGGGGGGCGATGGGGATGAGGTATTTGACATTATCATGTGGCCTCGTCCAGTCGATAAAATCAGTCAGTTAGTTCAGTCGAATAATCCAGTCGAATAAACCAGTCGAATAATTCAGTCGAAAAGTTCGGTCGAATAAACCAGTCGAATAGTTCAGTCGAATAATTCAGTCGAATAAACAAGTCGCTCAATATTAAGCAGCGGTGGCAGTGGGCTAAGATGATATGGTAGCAAATCATGCTCTTAGACATAGCTGAAGGAGCCGGGGCATGGGGTAGAGACCGGGGGGCTTCCCAACTAGTTTCAAGAAATGAAAAGAAATGAAATGGGGTTTTAACGTCCTACTGTTCTGCTTGGAACTGGGCTAATGAAGACGGGCATACGCCATACACTGTGCGATGAGGGAAATTTTGCCCGGACAGCGGCACTACGGCCTACTCTTATATCGAATTCCATCTGTCAAGGGATCTTTTACGACCACGTCAATGTGGACACGGGACCTCGGTTTTTCGTCCCATCCGAACGACTAGACAGCTGTCCTTGTCCGCCTCGAAAAGAATAGAGTCCCTATATATGATATGAACGAAGAAAGGGGATGGGGTGGGGCGGGGGTGGGGGGGATGAGGTATTTGACATTTTCATGTGGCCTCGTCCAGTCGATAAAACCAGTCAGTTAGTTCAGTCGAATAATCCAGTCGAATAAACCAGTCGAATAATTCAGTCGAAAAGTTCAGTCGAATAAACCAGTCGAATAGTTCAGTCGAATAATTCAGTCGAATAAACAAGTCGCTCAATATTAAGCAGCGGTGGCAGCGGGCTAAGATAATATAGTAGCAAATCATGCTCGTAGCCATAGCTGAAGGAGCCGGGGGCATGGGGTAGGGACCGGGGGGCTTCCCAACTAGTTTCAAGAAATGAAAAGAAATGAAATGGGGTTTTAACGTCCTACTGTTCTGCTTGGAACTGGGCTAATGAAGACGGGCAGACGCCATACACTGTGCGATGAGGGAAATTTTGCCCGGACAGCGGCACTACGGCCTACTCTTATATCGAATTCCATCTGTCAAAGGGATCTTTTACATCCACTCCAATGTATACACGGGACCTCGGTTTTTCGTCCCATCCGAAAGACTAGACAGCTGTCCTTGTCCGCCTCGAAAAGAATAGAGTCCCTATATATGATATGAACGAAGAAAGGGGATGGGGTGGGGCGGGGGTGGATGAGGTATTTGACATTTTCATGTGGCCTCGTCCAGTCGATAAAACCAGTCAGTTAGTTCAGTCGAATAATCCAGTCGAATAAACCAGTCGAATAATTCAGTCGAAAAGTTCAGTCGAATAAACCAGTCGAATAGTTCAGTCGAATAATTCAGTCGAATAATCCAGTCGAATAATTCAGTCGAATAAACAAGTCGCTCAATATTAAGCAGCGGTGGCAGCGGGCTAAGATAATATAGTAGCAAATCATGCTCGTAGCCATAGCTGAAGGAGCCGGGGGCATGGGGTAGGGACCGGGGGGCTTCCCAACTAGTTTCAAGAAATGAAAAGAAATGAAATGGGGTTTTAACGTCCTACTGTTCTGCTTGGAACTGGGCTAATGAAGACGGGCAGACGCCATACACTGTGCGATGAGGGAAATTTTGCCCGGACAGCGGCACTACGGCCTACTCTTATATCGAATTCCATCTGTCAAAGGGATCTTTTACATCCACTCCAATGTATACACGGGACCTCGGTTTTTCGTCCCATCCGAAAGACTAGACAGCTGTCCTTGTCCGCCTCGAAAAGAATAGAGTCCCTATATATGATATAAACGAAGAAAGGGGATGGGGTGGGGCGGGGGTGGGGGGGGATGAGGTATTTGATATTTTCATGTGGCCTCGTCCAGTCGATAAAACCAGTCAGTTAGTTCAGTCGAATAATCCAGTCGAATAAACCAGTCGAAAAGTTCAGTCGAATAGTTCAGTCGAATAGTTCAGTCGAATAATTCAGTCGAATAAACAAGTCGCTCAATATTAAGCAGCGGTGGCAGCGGGCT